ACAAAAAAAAAACTCTTCACTATCATTAAATATTTACACTTGGTCTTGGCCAAAAGGCTGAGGAGAGGTAAATATTTATTTTAGTGTTCAATTGTTTCTATCTCATCGATAACTTTCATAGAGTTTTTATGAGTCAATACCCAAATAAGATTCATCTACTACAATGGTCAAAGTTTCCCTTAAATTGCTTTTAATTTCTAGAATTCTCCTCAGTCTCCACTTGCTTGTTTCTTTCAGTGGTTTTGTTGAAGAAACTGGGTCATTTTGGTTTTCCTGGTCACATTCCAATGGTGTCATTTAGCATGTTCTTGTGTTCCTAGACTTACTGTACTTTTGCAGTTCTATCCAGAGACATGGTCAGATTCAAGTTCGTGTTTTTGTTGTTGTTGTTGTTTGTTGTAGTTTTCTTTTTGGCAAGACTGCTTCCTAGATGATATTGTACATTTCCACCAGGAGATACACAGTATCTATTTGTCCTTTATCTCATGACATTAGCAGCTAAACATGGTCATTGCCTCGATTCATTAAATTATTTGAAGTTCAAAGTGTCGAGCTATCAGTGTACTTCCGTGGTAGAATGTTTGCCTAGTATGCATGAGATCAGCAGACATATCCCCACCAACACACACCAAAGAGGTTGCAAATTGCTGAATGTTCAGATGCTAGTTTTTCCTTCTTTTATTAGCTAGGATATACCTAGAAAAGAAAACCTCCCCCAGTCAGCCGAATGGTTTCCCTCCAGTTGTATTTGTATAGGATTTTCTTGATCTCCCCCTTTATTTATAAGTTAGTACAATAATAATTGGCTCTTTAGTGAATTAGTCAACTATTGCTACATAACAAATTACCATACTTGATAACTTAAAACAGTGCACATTTATTATATATCACAGATTCTGCAATCAGGACTCCCAGCCAGGCTTAGCTCTGTTTCATGATCTTTAATGAAGCTGCAGCGTGTCACTTAGGATTTAAACCTTATTTTAAAGGGCACAGGGATTTAGCTCAGTGGTCCTGCCACCTGCCTTGCAAGTGCAAGGACTCAAATTTGATCCCCAGTACCAAAAAAAAAAAAAAATTAAACCTTATTTTAAAGCTTGACCCAGGAATGCAGCTATTGGCAGGATTCAGTACCTTAAGATTATTGACCAAGGGTCTTGGGTCCTGCTGGTTGTTGCCTGGAAGCCACCCCATCTCCTTGCACATGGCAACTTGCTTCACCCAGGCCAGCAAGATGGCAGCCATTGTCTTATATAATCCAATCCCAGGAGTGACCAGTCACCCTCTTCCATCTTTGCTACTAGAAACCAGCCACTCAGTCAGGCTTCCCAAGGAGAGGGGACCATGCAAGGGTGTCATTACCTGGGGCTGGAGTCATGCAGGGCCAGCTGAGAGTCTCTCTGCCATACCTACCATCCCCCAGAGATGGTCGGTGAAATCCCCTTTTTAAGAAAAGGACTCGGGTCACTGAGGGGTTACTCCATCTGCTATCAGCCAGAGAAGCAGGGTTAAAGCAGAGCACCCCATTGCTGCTTTCAGTGCTGAGCTTTTCATTAAGACCCTAACCTCACCTACCGAAGAATACAAGAGACAACACGACCTCCAGAACGCGTACTCCATACAACGCAGTCTCCTCGTCCATAACAAGAAGCTCACCGTGTCTAGTTTACAGACTTCCAAAGGATGAAAAGAGTTCATCTACATAAAATGTTCAGAACAGTGGCTGGCAAGGTAAGGGCCACTGTTGTCATCTTTGAAATTAGTCGTAGTGATACTGCTGTGACTAAATCCTACTTTTTCAGCTCCCCAAATTGCTCACTTCTTCCAGACTGCCTGGCCCTTCTTTGGCTGTCAGTTCTCACTCACTAGAAATACGCTGCTCTCAGAAGCCCAAGTCTCATGTAAAGTTTCTGTGTTCCCTGCCAGCGTGATCCAGTGACTCCAGGCAACTGATGTAGCAAATACCCTCTGAAGTGAATCCGACTCTTAAACACCCCATTGTCTGGAGGGACCTGGTCCTAAATTAAACCAAGTCCCTTCTATGGGTTTTGTTGCTGTTGTTTCCATACTGGGGATCGAACTCAGGACCTGAGGCAGGCAGGGTGCCACCTTAACACATCCGTGGCCCTGCCTTCTATTGTTTTGCAAAGCATTAACTGTACATCAGAATCTGTTTTGTTTTGAGGTGATTGGAATCAAATCAAGAGCATTTTCTATACCCTCAGCATTTTTTTCATTTTTTAAATTTTGAGACAGTGTCTCACTAACACCCTTAGTTACCCAGGCTGGGCTCAAACTTGTAATCCTCTTGCCTCAGTATCCCAGAGGGCTGGAAGTTTTAAACTTCACAAGTGACATGTGAATATATGTCTAAAAAAAAAAAAAGAGAGAGAGAAGCCATGGAGTGGAAGATAAAATTCACCCTGACCACACACCCTGTCTCTGTTCCCTTCCTTTCTTTCCCAGAGGTAACCACTGCTAATAGTTTGATATGTATCCTGCTCATTCTACATCCAATCTGTATCTGTCTGTTTTCCATTACTATAATGAAATACCTGAGACTGAATACCATTATAGAGCAAAGAAGTCAGTCATCTCTCAGTTCTGGAGTTCAAGGGCATGGCACTGACATCAGCTTAGGTCTGGTGAGTATCTCATGGCAGATGACAAGGAAAGGAGGAAGCAGTCACGTGGCTGATGCAACAAGACGAACAAGCCAGACATGACAAGCCAGAGCCAGGGGAGGCGAAACAGGCTTGCTTTTTTGGGAGACAGGCTGTCACTGTGTAGCCCAGGTAGGCTTCACATTTGTAATTCTCCTGCCTCAGCCTCCTAAGTGCCAGGATCACAGGTGTGCACCACTGTGCCCAGCTAAGGTTTGCTCTTTTTAAAACCCTCTGGCCAGCTCTGATTCAGGGTCCAATGAGAATGACCTTAACCTTTCTGAGGGCAGGAAATCCCACGCTCCACCTCTTAAAGTCCCCACCACCTCTATGCTGCACACTGAGGACAAAGCCCCAGTGTTTTTTGCTTTGTTTTGTTTTTGGTACTGCAGATTGAACACCAGACCTTGACATTGAGCTACATTCTCTACCCTTTTTGATTTCTT